ATTCTGATGACATGTTTGTAGCACGTGGTCTTCCTTCTGTATTGTTCTTTCTAAACGCTATTCTGATGACATGTTTGTAGCACGTGGTCTTCCTTCTGTATTGTTCTTTCTAAACGCTATTCTGATAACATGTTTGTAGCACGTGGTCTTCCTTCTGTGTTGTTCTTTCTAAACGCTACTCTGATAAAATGTTGATAGCGCATGCTCCACCAAATGAATAACATTCATTCATGTTTAACAACTATGGCTTCATTGAACGTTATTTTTACATATAATGGTGGTGTGCATGCTTTTATCCATCTGTCTGTCTGCCTATCTATGTAAGGCTCAACTCTCACATTATCGGCAAATTACCGTTCACTACCGATATTAGAACAGGCCCATATATTGAATATTATATGTTAAGCCTTATCGATTGAGTGGGCATTTGAATAGAACTACGTGTTGGTTATTCTAATAAATCAAGCCTTATTTATTGTCTAAGTTATTCTGACATACTAAGTTTCATCGATGGAGCGGGTTTTAAAACAGGACTATGTGTTGATTATTCTGATAGGCTAAGCCTTTTCATAACTCAAATAACCGTTTGTTGTTTTTCCACGAGAAAATGTATATATTAGAAGCATGTGTTGCCGGACCTATGAGTAAAAGGTTATCTTCGTAAACTGACCCTGACACAAATATGTAAATATAGATAAAGAATTAAAAAATAAATATAACTCGATATTTTCCTTTGTAAGTATTGACTTTACTCTTCTTTCTCTTGTAGAATTGAAAGATTTTTGTGTGTCGGTGAGTTTGGTATTCCTTTGAAAACATTAAATTCTTGTGCTGTCGCTGCATGATATTTTAGACAAACTGACAGATTTCTATTACAAGAAGCTTGTGTGTTCTTTTCTTGCCAAACCGAACGAATTCAGTTCAGAAAATATGGATGTTTTAATGAACTTCAGACGTAAAACGTCATTAGTGAACGGTGTTAACATGTAGTAGAATATTCAGGTAATATGGATGTTTAATGAACTTCAGATGTAAAACGATATGTTACTTATTGGTGTTAATATTTGGCACAGTATTCATGTAATATGGATGTTTTAATGAATTTCAGATGTAAAACGATATGTTACTGAATGGTGTTAATATGTAGTAGAATACTCAGGTAATATGAATGTTTTAATGAACTTTAGACGTAAAACGTTATGTTACTGAATGGTGTTAATATTTGGCACAGTATTCATGTAATATGGATGTTTTAATGAACTTCAGACGCAAAACGTCATTAGTGAACGGTGTTAACATGTAGTAGAATATTCAGGTAATATGGATGTTTTAATGATCTTCAGATGTAAAACGATATGTTACTGAATGGTGTTAACATAACGTTTTACGTCTAAAGTTCATTAAAACATCCATATTACTTGAATACTGTACTACAAATTAACACCATTCAGTAACATATCGTTTTACATCTGAAGATCATTAAAACATCCATATTACCTGAATATTCTACTACATATTAACACCATTCAGTAACATAACGTTTAACGTCTGAAGATCATTAAAACATTCATATTACCTGAGTATTCTACTACATATTAACACCATTCAGTAACATAACGTTTAACGTCTGAAGATCATTAAAACATTCATATTACCTGAGTATTCTACTACATATTAACACCATTCAGTAACATAACGTTTTACGTCCGAAGCTCATTAAAACATTCATATTACCTGAGTATTCTACTACATATTAACACCATTCAGTAACATAACGTTTTACGTCTAAAGTTCATTAAAACATCCATATTACTTGAATACTGTACTACAAATTTCTGAATGGGGTTAATATGTAGTAGAATATTCAGGTAACTTACTCTTCAACCGATCTGTTAAGCTATTACGCTGGTGTCCGAAAGTTAAGGAACAAAGTGTTTGTTGAGCACTAAAGATTTGTTCCTTAAAAGTTTGCTCCTGTTCCGGTGAACTTCTAACGCTAAAAATCGGGTTTCGATGCCCCTGGTGGACAGAACACAGATAGCTCATTGTGCTTTACAACAAACAAGAAAACTTTAAATTTTGGACACCAGTGTATATAAAAACATTTAACAAAGCGTTTTTGTTGATATATAATTTATAACTCAGTGTAAAGAGACTATTCATATCGAGCATTAAACATGTAAACTTAGCTTAACATCTACGTTATGTAACTTGCTCATCTTAATGACAAGACGATCGTTCTGGCTAGTCACTGTGAATCGTCAGTATTTAAAAGTGACTTATAACTTTAAGTAATGAAAGCCTACACGTGATGTCTCTCGTATATAAATACAGATTGGTAGTTTTATTTTTTGTTTGCAGTTAAGTATAAAGCTACACAAAGGGCTATCTGTGCTCTGCCAACCACGGGTATCGAAATCCGGTTTCTAGCGTTGTAAGTCCGCATTCATACCGCTGTACCACTGGGGGGGGCACAGATTGGTAGACAGATAGAACGACGGACAGACAACTAAATAGATAGACAATTTAATAGTTGTTGTTTGTTATTAAACACAAAGCTACACAAAGGGCTATCTGTGCTCTGTCCATCACGGGTATCGAAACCCGATTTCTTGTTGTTTGTTATTAAACAAAAGCTACACAAAGGGCTATCTGTGCTCTGTCCACCACGGGTATTGAAACCCGATTTCTAGCGGTATAAATCCGCAAACATACCGCTGTGCCACTGTGGGCGCAAGTTGATAGACCGATAGACAGATAATGAATTAAATGAATATTTTGTTTTTGCTTTAGCGCAGAGTTCAATGGGTTATCGGTGCTGTGTTCACGACGGAAATTTAAATCAAAATTAGGCTGTTATGAAACTATATAAGTAAGTAATTATATATACAAAGATAGATAGATAAACAGGCAGACAGATAAAGTAGATAGACACATCATAATATGAAATATTGTTCGTATTTCCCTAAAAACTGCATGAAATTTGATTATATATGCGATATGAAGGAATTCAACATTTTAGAATATTTCTCTTGTTAATATTAACAAGTCTTAGCCGAAGGAAAGTGTTGACTATGAGTCGCTAAAGATCCAACATCTCTTAGACTGTAAGT